AGAGGAGAGAGAGTTCGATGGCTCCGGTGGGTCTGCCGCCTGGCTTTAGGTTTCACCCTACAGATGAGGAGCTGGTGAATTACTACCTCAAGAGGAAGATCCATGGCCTCAAGATCGAACTCGATATAATCCCGGAAGTGGACCTGTACAAGTGCGAGCCATGGGAATTAGCAGGTCGTCTGATAAGCCAAACCTGTTCTTTGTTTGTAAACTAATTCTTGTTGAGAGAATATTCAATTCTTCTTCTTTCTTTGCTGTATGTGTTGTGGCAGAGAAATCATTCTTGCCGAGTAGGGATCCAGAATGGTACTTCTTCGGGCCGCGGGATCGGAAATACCCCAACGGGTTTCGCACCAACCGTGCCACCAGAGCAGGATACTGGAAGTCGACAGGAAAGGACCGGCGAGTTTGCTCTCAGAATCGAGCTATCGGCATGAAGAAGACGCTGGTCTATTACAGAGGCCGAGCTCCCCAAGGCATCAGAACGGACTGGGTGATGCACGAGTACCGCCTCGACGACAAGGAGTGCGAGGACACCATGGGATTTCAGGTCCTCATCTTCTTACTCTAGTACACGCATGTGGTGATAGTTTAGACAACAACTACATGAGAAACCCTAGTCAAAGTTGACTTGCCGATGCTTCATTTCAAGGATCGAAGAACATAGCGATCTAGCAAGAACACTCTCCTGCTACGTGAATATTGTGCATGGGAGCGCATGCAAAGTTAGGGTTGTGATCCATAGAAGCTATTCCTTTCTTTGGCTATACGTAGATAATGCATTCGTTAGTTTCTGCGTTTGCTTTGGGTATTCCAGTAAGACAAATGTGATATCCTCTTCTCTCACAACATTGCATCTGTCAGTAATTAGACCTACCTTTTTACTACCACCCGACATAAATCCATGTAAGCTCATGGTGTCTAATGGTGTCGGTGGCTTTCCACTTTATTCTTTGCTGTATCCTTCCACCTCCAAAGAGAAAAAGCACAGTTGGTAGTCTCAGTCACTCTTCTTCTTCTTCTTGTTCTTCTTCTTCTTCTGCAGGATTCGTACGCACTGTGTCGAGTGTTCAAGAAGAACGTCATCTGCACAGAGGTGGAAGAGCAGGCGCAGTGCAGCATAATACTGGGGGAGAGCTCCCAAGGAGTCGTGGTGGCCGCCGAGTACGAGACCACGTCGCCGGACATGCCGGTTGGATCATCTTCATGCGTCGAGGAGGAAGACAAAGACGACGCTTGGATGCAGTTCATCACGGACGACGCATGGTGTTCTACATTACCGAGCAACGAGGGCGGCGAGGAGGCCTCATGCGTCGCCATTGTCAATTCATGAACAAACCAAACCTTTTTCTCCACATAGATCTGCTTGGGTGGTAAATAACAAGATTGGGTAAGATCATTTAATCAAATAATACTGAGATCATTAAAGTAAGCGTTTTTGGTGGATTCAGCTTTGCTCGACTCCACCCCACTGCGTTGGTTTCTTCTTCTTTTTCTCTACTTAGACCTTTCACTTTCTGTGTATTGAGTAATCAGAACAACTATATGCATTGAGGAGAGAAATGTTATACGGTTCACGGTTGTATGATCTCGATCTCTCTCTCCTTCTCTCTTCTTCCCTCTACTTCTTTCTCCCGCTATGGATAGAGATGAAGCTGAACTACTTCTGCATTTTGCGTACAAGATTAAGAGGACAGATACCAGCTGATTCGGTTCTTCTATTGATCTTTGATGCTGGATGTGCAAATTGCACATCTGACTTCCATTACAATAGCCTCTCTTTTCTCGAGTCACACCATTTCATGTTACTGGCCGATGAACTACTACAGCTCACACCACTGAGAGGAAAACCATTCAAGTCATTCGCCCCACACATTCACATAAAATAGCAGCAGAAGAAGACATGTTGCTCATTGATTGCTGTTCACAACATCAGCTATAATTATAGACGGAGGGTTTCATGAAGAATGGAGGAGGAAATAAATCGCGAGCGTTCGACTACAGCTTCCAAGATTTCCATTTCGTGAATCCAAAATAAGATGACGCCTTTTTTTTACCTCCGATGGCCAGTAACCAAAAGGAAAACCCTACCCCGATCGAGCTCGCCAGGCATCACGGGCAGCGGCGGCAACATCGACAGGGGCGGTGCGACTCGTTCACCCACCAAAGCCGTAGAGGGTGCGGCCCTGGCGCTTGAGGGCGTAGACGACGTCCATGGCCGTGACGGTCTTGCGGCGGGCGTGCTCGGTGTAGGTGACGGCGTCGCGGATGACGTTCTCTAGAAAGATCTTGAGGACGCCGCGGGTCTCCTCGTAGATGAGCCCCGAGATGCGCTTGACGCCGCCGCGGCGGGCGGGGCGGCGAATGGCCGGCTTGGTGAAGCCCTGGATGTTGTCGCAGATGACCTTGCGGTGGCGCTTCGCCCCGACATTGTCGTGAATCAAAGCCCAATCCTACGAGTTAGGGTTGCCTGAGATTTAGCCGACTCGAGTGGGACGAATAAACTCCATGTGGGGGAAGAAGGCTTTTATAGATGTTATTAGGAAGGTAAATGGATCCCCAATGGACGGTGAGGATTGGATAGCGTCATGGTTTTGGATCGGTGACATGGCGAGTAAAAAAGCATAGATTAACATAACAAGAACGTTTCGCTTAAGGAGTTGGGCTGATCAGTCCGGCCCGGCCCAACCCACCCATATTTACTGGAGACCGGACCACGTTGGTCTGAGGCCCATGGCACACGGGCTCCATGTTGGGTGTGTTGGTCTGTAGGCCACTTTTTATTTCAGAATTATGATTAATTTGTTTTTAATTATAAAATAATATTGATAATTTACAAAAAAAATATTTTTTTTTTAAAAGTACTTTTTTCAATGGTTCAGTATACAAAAAGATAAAGAAATAATGACCAACAATTCCAATCTACATCTTTCTCAAATTATATAATAAAACATATTTATAAAGAAGCTAATGTGCTCATTAGTGGATGACCCTTTTATTATTTTACAGAGGAAAGACAATAATTCATACTTTCATCATTCAGGCCAAAACTTGGATGTTTATTTCTGATATCTGCTGGTACATGAATATGTTTTGCCAAAAAAAATACAAAAAAGAATATAAAAACATTGAATCATTGAAGAAAAAAAGAGTTACAAGACTTGCCAGCAAACATCTAAGCGTACATAATTTCATCAGTGGGGTGAATGAAATATAATGTTCAGGAACATGGATGTATGCTTGTCAGGTGAAGCCCCAAAAGATACCCAAAGGTTGCTGCTATAGAATCTGCAATCATCTGGTACTCAAACCTACGTGATTCAAGACTAAGAAAGCAGGACCAGAAGGATGGATTCCTTTGTTTAGCATTTCTTCTACCATAGGAGTAGCCATAGGATGGATTCAAGCTTTATGTAGCCATAGGAGTGCCCTGAATCAATAGCATAAATATCATATAGAAAAAGTTTGAGCGTCCTGACGATGAATCCATCTTTAAGTGTCAATCAATCGATATTGCGTCTAGCCACTGTTACAAACATCCTGAAGGCAAGTCCATCTAGCCACTGTTCTATCAATGCTGCAGAATAAACTGAATTCAGTCTTCGCTTCGTAGCTTCATAAATTATCCAAGGATTTCAGATACTTTCTCAACATCCCTTCGTTCATGACCAGCCTTATCGCAAGTAGTCTTCTATTTTAACCATCCAACATTACCATATCAGAACCCATCTACTCAACGCCTGCCTGTCGTCTATTACCTGCATAAACAACCAGGCTTCTCACAAGTAGTTGCCGCCCCTTGCAGTATCTGCTTATTAGTGAAGTATAAAATATCTAAAGGAAACCATATAGCAAATCCTAAAACAAAACACGGGCAAGCTCCAATCAGTCCATCAAAGCAAACTCCATCTATAGTAACTTGCAACATGGGGTTATAATGCCAGTTCCATCCACAGTTGTCCCTTGCTTTGAGAAGCCCAGAAAAAGCATGTCATCTTTTCTTGTGCCATGGTGTTACAGGTAATTTACAAACCATTTCACTAAAAAAACCACAAATCATGTAATTTTCCTCCTCTTCCAGTATTCTAAGACCTAATTTTGCCACTCAGAGCTTGCCACCTCCTCATAGATCATCAATTAATCCATATTTACAGTTGACATTGATGCAGAAGAGAGCATATATGAAGACCGACCAATCTTCTTCATCCATCAAGGAATAGGGACTAGAGCTTTACAATGTTGAATATAAATCACAAGAACTTACTGCAGAGTTTGCTAAGCAGTGCAAAATCTGGGACTGAAAGAATTAAAACATTGATCAAAACTGAAACATATCAACCATATTTTGTGGCTAAGAAGAATTTGCACCAACATACCTTCTCAAAGCAATCCAGTTCCTTCAACCCCCACAGATAATGTTGAATAATTACCTAACAACTAATGCATGTTATATTCTGTTAGATCTCAACATAAAATCTGAAATGCAAAATGAAAAAAAATGAACAAATGAAAAAAAAAAGTAGCTGAAGCAGATTCATCCTTTAACACTAATTTTAAATCTAATCATACATCAAAACTTACATGATTTTGAGCATCAAAATACAGCTTGAGGCAACAAAACCAGAAAAAGACACCTAGTTGAATATACATAATCAATAAAAATAATTTTGAACATAGGCAGAAGAAGAGAAATACAGAGGGCATGAATTAGGAGAGAACTTTTGCAATATGAGGATACAGATTATTCAAATTGGCAATCAAACACAACTTCAACAGATACTATCAATGGAAGAGAGAAATGATCCCATAAAATGGTAAAATCTGCTGCAGCTTTCTTCCCCCTATTTTCAATCTTACTAGATAGTAGTACAACATGCAATGGACACTGACGGATCATACATGGCCCTGAGTGTTGAATCTCGGATTTTGATGATAAAACCAATTGATAGTATTTATGATTTGATCTACGTTTTGAGTGACACAGAATGCTTCGATTAGGGAGAGACAATTAAAGCAGGAAGAATCATGTTGGGCCGGAGGAAAACATGTCAGAAGATTGGACGTTGCGTCGAAGGATCGGTCAACATATCGGCAAAAGACTTTGGGCCGCAAATTCGGGCATCGGGCCACAAAGAGCGGATATTGTGCCAAGGATATCGGAGTTGCGAAGGTCAACTGGCCGATTGGGCAATAAGCTGTAAGAGAGGACGATGCGCCGAAGAGGAATCCCATCAACTCTGTCGGAATTGACCGAGAAGTCCTAGAGCTTGCCAAAGAAGCTCGTTGGAACTCGCCAAGAAGATCGTCATGAAGTCCAGGAGTTTGCCGGGAGTCCGCCAGAACATTGCCGAGAGATCGTCGGAAGTTCGTCGGAAGATCGTCGGAAAAAACCGGACTTATTTAGGTTATTGTATGCCTTAAATTTCGTAATTAGCACATAATTAGAGTGTGATTTGGGAGGTAATCCCATCAACTCTGTTAGGGGTCAACTGGGCCCAAAGTTAGGCTGGTTTGGGTCGGATTCAAGCCCCAACCAGGATGCTGAAAGCCCAACCGGCAATGGCACCGCCTGGGAGATAGCATCCCAGGATTTCTGGGCGGTGGTACCCCCCAGACTAGGCGGTGGTACTGCCGGCAGTGAATGCTGCCAGCGGTGGTGCCGCCCAGTGGCAGACCAGCGGTGGTAGTACCACCCAGTAACGACGGTGGTATCGCTAGTACCCAGGAAACCTGGAATGAGACCTTTTTAGGCTCCAAGTTTGAATCAACTTGAAGCCTATAAATACCCCTCTCATCCCTGGTTAACTAATACAAGCACAGAGAATTTAAAAAGGGAAAAACGCTGTTATAATCTCTTGTGAGAATCCTCCTCTTCTAGTCTAAGTGTTAGAATAGTTTGAGAGAGGAGTGAGTGCTTGTAAAGGTTGTCTCCTAAACTTATGAAAAGGAGAAGAGGGGTGTAAGAAGGAGGTTGATCTTCGCCTATTAAAGGAAGATCGATAGTGGATGCCGGTAGCCTCGACGGAAGAGGAATCAGCGGAGTAGATGTAGGTCACGACGACCGAACCACTATAACTCGGTTTGCATTTACTTCTTGCAATTTACTTTTATAGCAAACTGCCTCTCCTCCTTACTGTGCTTTTACTACATCTACACTCGCATACACTTTCAAGTTTCCAAAATCGGTTTTATCGTACGAAACGAAATTTCCATAACCGACGTAATTTTTACCGCTGCACAAATTCACACCCCCCCCCCTCTTAGTGCCGCTCTTAATCCTAATAGTTGGTATCAGAGCCACGTTATTTCTCATTTGGTTTAACACCTAAGAGAAATGACTCTTTTCGGCTTTCAAGAGGGTCACTCTCTCATTCGTCCTCTCATGTTCAATGGGACGGACTGCACATATTGGAAAACTCAAATTAGAGTTTTCTTGCTTTCTTTAAATTTAAATTTATGAAGTATTGTTGAAAATGGCTTTCAAAAATCTTCTAAACCAATGAACGAATGGAATGATTTGGAGAAGAAGATTTTTTCTTTAAATGCTAGAATTATGAATGCTCTATTTTGTGCCTTAGACAAAAACGAATTCAATCGAATTTCTATGTGCGAAACGACTTTCGATATTTGGCACATTCTTGAAATCACACACGAAAGCACTAGTAGAGTAAAAGTTTCGAAGATTAATCTTTTAATGCATGACTTCAAATTGTTTCATATGAAACCAAACGAAACCATTGGAGACATGTACACCCGTTTTACGGATGTCGTCAATGGTTTAAAAGAACTTGGTAAAAGTTTTTCAGATTTTGAACTTGTAAACAAAATTTTACGTTTTCTTCATAAGAATTGGGATTCAAAAATAACTGCAATACAAGAGGCAAAAGACTTAAACAAGCTTCCACTCGAAGAACTAATTAAGCCTTTAATGACCTACGAAATGACCAATGTGGCACAAAACGAACTCGAGAATAACCTTCCAAAGAGCAGGAAGGATTTCGGACTTAGAACAATTGACGACCACTCGAGCATAAGCTCAAGTGACGGTGAACTTGAACACCTCACTATGAAATTTAAAAAGTTCATGAAATAAAAATTAAAGAACAAAAAGAACGCAACTACTTACTATGAACGCAAGAAAAGGGAAGCACCTTGGAATGAATCAAGCTCATCCAAAGACGAGGAGAAAATCAACAAAGGCGAAGTGGCAAACTACGCCTTAACGGCTTTTGATGACAAGTTAATCAAAATCCCCTTAGTTTATTTCAAAATTACATGATGCTTTTCATGAGTTATTTTTAATTTAGTTTAATTATTTTTCTTGAAAATTACATGTTTAATGATGTAATGAAAATGTTAAAAGTTTTAAGATCATGCTTATCTTTCTAGTAATTTTGAAAATGATCATGAAAATTATATGTTTTATGATAAATAAACAAAAATGTTAGACTTAAATCTAATACTTAAGATAAATCCTATGTATGTTTTAAGAAGCAATAATGTATATCTTGATGATTTTCATATTGATTTTCGATTTTGTTTGAAAATACCTTATGCTCAATGAAACCATGATTGATGAATATGCTTTATGTTTAATGATTTCTTTGGCTTGTATGCCTTATCATGATCAATGTTTTGAAAATAAATGTTTGTATCATGCTTGATGATTTTTATGCATGAGGAATTGAAGTAATGATTTGAAATCATGTTTTGGAATTATGTGTTACACTTTTTGATCTTGATGATTTTTT